AGGTACGTTACAATTGAAACTTAATTTTGATAATAGTTGTAATAGCCCCTCCATAGAACTATGTTACGGAAGTCTCTTCACAGAAGATGAACTCTAACATAACTAATACATTAAATTTAAACCACAGATATAAAAATTACCTGTAAGTAGTCATCGCCCGTAGTCGTTGCTGGTTCCCAGCAATGAGTATCAAGCAATCTTGCGTCCCAAGGCGCGTATAAAGCCATATTTGGCGATGACGTGGAGGTGAATCTATAATCCGGGACTGTAAAATGAGGTTTAGCTAAACCTGTTGCAGAGTTATCACACGCTGAAGGAAAATGAAAACAAACTGTTACCAATAGACTAAAATGCGAGACATTGCGTCCTCAATTGCAGCCTTGGTTTTACCACTCTACCACTCAACAAATCAATAACTAATAGGTTGAAAATCGAGCAAAGGCAGGAAAACCATGAAATAAAATCAAACTAAATACTAACTAGCGTCTATTCAGAGATAATTTGTCAGTATCAATAAACCAGAACACAGTAAAGATGAATCCACATGGGTCCATTTTTCATTCATCTTTATTGCATTCTGGTTTAATTGAGACTGACAATTACTCCAGTTTCGAGATCTTATTTGTGCAGTCTTAACCTCGAAAGCATGTAATATAATCTTTTATTCGGCAGAGAATCTATTGTAATACAAAAACTCTGTGTACAAAGACGGTAATAAACAATTTATGCTTGATTGAAGCTTAGCTTGCACAAAAGAGAACTCGAAACTGGAGTATTCTCTCTAAATAGCCACTATTTGTTAGTATTTAGTTTGATTTTAAATCATGGTTTTCCTGCGTTTGCTCTATCATCCATGAAATACATTTGATAGATGGAGGTAGAGTTTAAACTTACTTTTTCGCTCGACGCCATAGAAYTCAATACGCATGCAAGGTGCGTTTAAAAACGTTTGGGGTAAAACTCTTATGTAGCGACATTGATGGCTGCGGTAAAAGTAGGATTTTGAAATTTTACTTCTATCGTAATTCCCTTCAAATATCTGAAATTTAAAAWAAATTGTGCGTTAATCATTTGTATTTATGAATAAATCTACCTTTGCATTTCATTCATTCGTTCTTTCTATTTAGCTCATTCTTGTATTTTTTCTCATTTCTAATTTCATTTATCTATCAATTCATTTATTCAAAATATTCTCAATACAAGGGCGGATCCAGCTGAAATTTTAACGGGGGTCTAAATGGTTTTAAGGGGGGCTAAATTTGTTATAAACAACATGGAAATAATAATATAAAAACAGTTTACCTCCTTTATCTCAAAGGAGGGGCTACAGCCCCCCTTTGCCCCTCCCTAGATCCGCCCTTGCATTCATTTATTAAATCAATTACAGTCAGTTGCAAAAATTTTGACTGCTAACATATATCATTTTATTGGCTTCATCGTGTGTAATGTTATGTGATTTTCGCTGTTTTTCTTGCTAAAAAGGCCGTAAATCATTCGAATGCTTGTTTCTGTACTGTTACAGGTTATTGTCAAGCATAATCTGCAATTTTATAATAAATTTAAAATATCAACTACCCTGTTATATACTGATYTATTTATTATAAGTTAGCAGCCGCAATTTCTTAAACTGTCTCTTWATGATTACGTGTAAATAATTCATTCGTCCGCTCATAACTTACAATAATTTGGCCATCATCTTTAACGTCAGTCCAGGTACTACCATCATTTGATATTTGCAACGTGTACGAAGTCACCATYTGGTCAGCTTTGCTATTTCCCTGCGTAGCCACAGCACACAACACGTAGGGGGCACCAAAGTCAATTTCTAGGAACGGTTTAGTGTCTTCCATAGCAGCGCACCAAGAGTCACCTTGTGTAAATCCAAGCCTTCCATTGTATGCCTTTGTCAAATAGGTAGATGATGCTGTCATTTGYGAATTGGTAATACGACCATCTTGAAGTCCAACAGGTTGACTGTCACAAGTTGCTACGAGAAAATTAAAATAGATTATAACAATGAATATATGAATTTATCGTATTATACTATTTTGAACTTTTCTTCTGCCATTAGGCATAATGGACTGTAAGTAAATAAAAACAATCTATTGGTTTGTACGCAATAAGACTATCTAAATGTGGAGACACATTCACACTACCATTAACTGATTTAGTCTAAAGTTATTCTATCAGTTCGAAATAGTTATGGCAGCTCAAATCTTCACTATCAATAGAATAATTGAAGAGAAAGAAATAATATTCCAACAGCAAGCCAAAAAATATACAAAATTTGAAGTATGAGATAGCAATGTAATAATCACAATCACAATCCGCAAGTTTATTTATTCAAATTTATAATTATTCCAAAACAGTAACAACAAGAACAACAGCAGCAACAGCAATAACAATTACAGCAACAATAACAACAGAAATAAAACAGCAACAAAGCAAGTACAAGAACAACGACTAAAACTTACGATAACATCCATACAACTCGATTCTCATTCCAATTCTACCAATCCATGTCTGGGGAAGAACTTTTAAGTATCTAGTAATAACTGKCTGGTGAAAAAGCTGCAAGATCTCATTCCTTGCTCCGTTGTTTCCTCTGAAAATCTGAAAAAAAAGAGCGAATAACAGAATTAGAAATTGATATTGTCGCCTTAGTCTACAAACGTGTCAAGTAGCTATGAAAAGTGCTCCTAAAACTATTATTTTCCTATACTTTTAGTTTATTTACCTGATCTAGATTTCTCCAGGTTTCACTGTCAGAACTATAGTCGACTTTGAAAGATGTAACCCAAGCAGAAGCATTCGTATCACCTTGTGTTGCAATAGCTGTCACTCTCTTCAATTCACCTAGATCAATTTGAAGATATTCTCCTTTAGAAGCATTTTCTTTGGCTCGCCAGGCAAACTTATCATTCAGACGAGCAGAGTGTGAACCGAATTTCTCCTTTTCGACCGATGTTTCCGACGACGCTGATATTTGAGAGTTATCAATCCCATAGCTTTGCATCCCAAGGGGATGATTGCAGAATTCTAAAGAGAAATGAAGCTAAACGTTTAGTGAATCAAATAATATACAATCGCATCATACCAATAAAATTATCACATTTTATAAAGGCTTCCATAAAAGTTTAAAGAAAACGTGGATATTTGAGTTACAATTCTGCAAAAAGGAATTTTTTTACCGTATGTGATATCCGAACTGTGATCTGCAGACAGCAGCAGTCCAGTTAGAAGCAAAATYAAAGCTTTAAACAGCTTCGCGATAATTTTCATCCTTCTTCATTATTAGCCARTCCAAAGAAGGAAGCACTCCGAAATTTCMCTATGTTTTCTAACACTTTTCAGCAAACAGGAACTCGAAAGCAAAGCAAAATCAAGACATATTATTGAAAATCGAATGGGCAACTGAAAAAACACAGTTGAATGTCATCATCGGCTTTGCGCGCGCGAAAGAAACGAACAAGCTTTTTGCGCGTGCAAAACAATTGTGCGCGCGCTATTTTGTGCATTCTGTTTGCGCGCGCTTGTTTGGGTCTGCTGTTTGCGCGCAGACACGTTTCATGTTTTCCATCATAAAAGCATGGATTTCGTMGGGAATTCACGAAAAGAAGATAGCCATAGCCATTTATTATTTAATAAAATCCTTTCCATTAAGTTTCAAAGTTAGTCTTTAAWGTCATTTTTCAAAGTTGGAGCAGTAAAATTTTAATTGACGTCTGGTTTGTGTAATAAGAATGCTGTTACACATTTTTACACATTATATAAATGTCATTGAAACGATATTACCTAAGAAACCAGGAAAAGTTTCAAGATTACATACGAATCAACTTGAATTGAGTTTCTCAATTAATACTCCAAGGAAGCAGCAAAGCGCTACTAGTGACACATAACTATAYATCTTTGACGCTGCTGCTAGWACAACTCGCGCCATCAAGGCTTCAATTGTATGATTCTTCATTGCTTGTTTTGACATTGGACTAAACGCTCGACACGATACAAGGGCAGTGCAGCTTGATCGAAGTACTGTGATATTTCTACACGTATATCTGCAGCCAGGACCATCGGGAACATCGGTAAAATTAACTTGCAATTGGCTCGATATTTCATCGTGTAAGAAGCTAATCCCGCGAGAGAGGTCAGTCACGTCACGATTWCCAAGAAGCCATTTCATTTCGGCACTGCTGTCTCCAGAGGCAATACATTGAACAGTRATAAACGTTCCGCTTTTTGTTGTGTATTTTGAGATGACTCCAAAACTTGTAATCTCGTGCTGCCGATCTAAAATACAAAAACGGTAAAAAAACAACAACTTATTCTGGTGTAAAAATTCCAAGGGGGAGGCCAGTCCAAGATGGAGGGAAGAATGTTAACCACTGAAAACTTACACATAAAAACTTCAACAATCTGATTGCTCTTTTCCCCAGTTATATTCCCACGTATTCCTTGGCAGGACAGCGTTTTGTTGCATTTTAATCGAAAACCTTCAATCTCCTCACAGTTGTAGTTTGAATTCACATCAATAAAGCTGGTAAAATTGACCTGAAGGTAACTGGTTACTTTGTCTTCGTTGTAGGAACTTCCTTGAGAACTATTAGTGATATCTTTATTTCCAAAGTACCATTTKATGTGGACAGCTTCGTCTCCAGTAGCAACRCATTTWGCTATMACAAAACTGCCAGATTCTGGTCTTAGCCTGCCTGATATTTCTGAGCTTATGACCTGAATTTCTCGATCTAGGAACAAGCAGATAAAGTTCAATATGTAGAAAAGGACATTCAAAAAATACATCGTAATGTACGGAGAAAAAAAACCTCTACATTATCCCTTTACGTTCTATGAATGGAGATATTGTAAGATTCGACCTTAAAACCGACGGATGGAAACGAATTGTAAATTGATATTTGAAGTATCTCCCTATTTTCCCATATCAAAAGTCTAAAGCACGACTGGATAGTCTCCTTCAGTTCACGGTTACGTGCGCCATCTTGAAAGGTAGCCGTTTCTTTACATCGAAGCGAGACAACCGTTGAGCGTGCAATCATGATAGATACCTGTGAATAACTGTCTGTAGGTGTGAAAGAAGGTTTCTATCATTGCACGCTAAAGGGTCGTTTCTTTTCGATGTAAAGGCTCGGCTGCCATTCAAGATGGCGCAGGGAACCGTGAAGAAGACTATTCAATGCTAGTTTGCATCGGCCCTTCAAACAAATCAATACATCAAACAAAGACACGAAAGTATTTTTTTTTCTGACCTACAATAACTTGGAGCATATGTTCCCTGCGGTCTCCATTACCACCTTCGCGTCCAGCTTGACATGACACAGTCGTGGTGCAATTTATCTTAAAATTATCAATGTTGCTACAGCTATAGCTTGCTACCATGTCGGAATAACTGGTAAAGTTGACTTGTAATTGGCTGGTCTTTTGGTGGTTGCTGTAGATGCTACCAGACGATTTTCCAGTGACATCACTGCCGCCAAGGAACCATTTTATACGCATGAAATCGTCTCCCGAAGCAGTGCAGTTCATCGAAACATAGGAGCCGTTTTGAGAAACCATGTTACCAACGGCATACAGACTTGTGATTCTTGCAGGTGGAGCTAAAAGAAAGTTGTTGGTTTATAGGTTTTCCAAATTAACAGATAAAACACAACTTACAGGAATATGGATTTTTAGCTTAATGTGTAATAAAGTGTATTAAAAAAAAGGAATATGGATATTTGAAAACTGTTGGATTGCCTTTGTCGAAACGAAGGACGAATAACAGATTATTTTAAGAAAAGGTTGTAATATTAAGAATAATAATGCCTTTATTGAAAGCAAAACAAACTAAAGGCCCGTTTACACTTGCGATTTTTGCATAGAGATTCTCGCGGCGATCGTCGCGCGACCAACACACCTGATTTTCAAACATGCTTGAAAATTGGCTACAACTTTGGCTTTATCACTTTGCTTACCTCTCTTGCTGATAAAGAGCTCTATTCTCATACAAGGATAGTTGTTCCAAGCTGTTGGTAAAATGCGTACAACACGAGCTGGTACAGGACTGGATAGCCAATGAACTGTAACCTCTTTATTGTCTACTAACTGTGTGTCAATGTTCTGAAGTAAAAATACAATAAATGTCCTTAATTTATACTCCCCCGAAACTTGGGTGGGGGTGTGCCGCTGGGACCTTAAACCATGACCCTGTTCCAGAGTGAAATCGCTGAAAACGATACCCTGTTCCAGAGTAAAATCCAGCACTAGCTTGCGTGTAGACCGAATTTTTACCCCATGATTTTTTATCCAGCATCCGGAATTCAACCCTGACCCTGTTCCAGAGAAAATTCGTTGAAATCGATACCCTGTTCCAGRSTAAWATCRMTAAAAACGATACCCAGTTCCAGAGTAAAATCGCTGAAAACGATACCCTGGCTGGCGGCACGTCCCCGTATAGCGAATATAGGGGAGTACCCCCCCGGGAAAATTGTTAGGAATCATTGTCAGTTCATCAATTTATCATCAGCAGCACAGCAGCATCAAAATTATCATCATTATTATTACAGTGATTATTATTATCATCATCATCAACAACAACAATAACAACAGCATCAACAAGCTCTTGGGAATCGTAGTCAGTTTATCGATGTATATCAACATCATCATTACCATTGTCATCATCATCAACAACAAATAAATAAATAAATAAATAATGCTTTAACAACAACAATAACAACAGCATCATCAAACTCTTAGGAATCGCAGTTTGTTTATATCATCATCATCACCATCATCATTTTTAACATCAACATCAACAACAACTACTAAACCAATAATAACAACAACAACAACAACAGCAAACTCACAGGAATCGTAGTCATTTCATCAATGAAGTTTCCATATTGAAAGTCATATTTCGTAACCCATTTGGACGAAGATGTGTCTCCCTGTATTGCAATACCAAACACCTCAATTGACTTCAGGAATACAATTTGAATGAATGAGTCATTAGCTTGGCTAGGGCACCAGGCATCGTCACCATAGAGACGTGCTTTAGAGGCTACGTGGTCATCGTCAAGAGCACTTGAAGCTGTAAACAGTACATCCGGGATCTTGCGGCGATGTTTGAGTGTTTCTAGACCAAAAGCTCCTTTCCAGGCTAAATGAACAGTAACAGAAGTCAAGATAACTGGGCGTACGAAGGGTGAATAGCTCCAAAAGTAAATAAATCTTTCCTGACTTTTCTGTCATTGGGAATTTAATTCCTGACTGGGYAGAAAAAGCGAAAAAGTATGTACCATGATTTGTTAAAATAAATGTTTTGTTTCAGTTTGAAATGAGATTCCAGTTGTTGTTTTAGCTTGCTGGTAAAACAATTATTTGTGTTAAAAAAACAAATTTACGATAGTTTCTTGTGGTATGTCCTCTATTTACCACAGTTGGGATTATCTCATCGTCTAGATTTTTGTAGACCAACTCAACTTTGACTCCTGGAGTTTCGAATACGCCTGAAAATTAACTGAAACTTCGCGGCGGTTTTCCATCGCCGCAACAATCCAAGGGCTGTTTACACGTGCGATTTGAGTTGGGCGATAGCAAAGTGGCGATTATCGCGCTGAAAAAAATCGCAAATGTAAACGGGCCATTATAGACACTTTTTTAGCGGGCGTCAGTCACTATGCATATGACAATTACCTTGTCTAACACCAAACAACTCCGTTTTGACACATTTGTAGTTTTCATAGGTAACGGGATAGATTCGAACAAACTTCGCCACTTGTATATCATCAAAGGCATTCTTGACAATATCGATCAGAGGGTAAGCTTTCTGTAAATTCCCTGGAAGAGTCTGAAAGATATATACCATTATTTGATGGCCATGGTCAACCCGGCATTCCATGCGTTCGCGTTTTGGATATTTTTATATATGGAACATTAGGTACAGGCAACCAAACCTTATTACATAATGTTTATATGTGACTTCAAAACAAATTTCTTAGAGATGAGGGAAAGAAAAACGAAAACCACGTAAAAACGCTTCCTNTACGTGGTCATTGTCAAGAGCACTAGAAGCTGTGAACAGTACATCCGGGATCTTGCGGCGATGTTTGAGTGTTTCTAGACCAAAAGCTCCTTTCCAGGCTAAATGAACAGTAACAGAAGTCAAGATAACTGGGCGTACGAAGGGTGAATAGCTCMAAAARTAAATAAATCTTTCCTGACTTTTCTGTCATTGGGAATTTAATTCCTGACTGGGYAGAAAAAGCGAAAAAGTATGTACCATGATTTGTTAAAATAAATGTTTTGTTTCAGTTTGAAATGAGATTCCAGTTGTTGTTTTAGCTTGCTGGTAAAACAATTATTTGTGTTAAAAAAACAAATTTACGATAGTTTCTTGTGGTATGTCCTCTATTTACCACAGTTGGGATTATCTCATCGTCTAGATTTTTGTAGACCAACTCAACTTTGACTCCTGGAGTTTCGAATACGCCTGAAAATTAACTGAAACTTCGCGGCGGTTTTCCATCGCCGCAACAATGCAAGGGCTTTTTACACGTACGATTTGAATTGGGCGATAGCAAAGTGGCGATTATCGCGCTGAAAAAAATCGCAAATGTAAACGGGCCATTATAGACACTTTTTTAGCGGGCGTCAGTCACTATGCATATGACAATTACCTTGTCTAACACCAAACAACTCCGTTTTGACACATTTGTAGTTTTCATAGGTAACGGGATAGATTCGAACAAACTTCGCCACTTGTATATCATCAAAGGCATTCTTGACAATATCGATCAGAGGGTAAGCTTTCTGTAAATTCCCTGGAAGAGTCTGAAAGATATATACCATTATTTGATGGCCATGGTCAACCCGGCATTCCATGCGTTCGCGTTTTGGATATTTTTATATATGGAACATTAGGTACAGGCAACCAAACCTTATTACATAATGTTTATATGTGACTTCAAAACAAATTTCTTAGAGATGAGGGAAAGAAAAAACGAAAACCAGGTAAAAACGCTTCCTAACGGTTTCAAACCCTCCCAAATGATAAAAGACACATCAAGGTACCAAGGTGAGTCATTTTTATTCGCTACACTCACTCGTGAGAGATCTTTTCAACACTCGAAGATAAAATCCGWATCTCCRCGCGACCATGTATTAATAACAAACTTACCTTTGAGTAGTTTGTCCATGTTTTACCGTCCATTGAAAATCTTACATCAAATGACGTGGTTCTCTCATCGATTCTAAACGACTGTCCAGTCTCCTGCATGGCGATACCGCATAAAATATATGGATCTCCAAGATCAATCTATGATTCAACGAATCGTATAGTAGAGTAAACGAGCTTGGATCATAAAATAAAATAAAGTAAAAACCGTTTCAATTGGTGGCTAGTAATTTGTGAATCTTTTCTGTGGTGTTCGTATTATGTCTTGTCTGGTTCAGTGGTAACGACTTTTAGTCACTAAACACAAACTATTGCTAGCCTAGTAAGTATTTTGATATTATTTCATGGTTCAAGTGCGTTTTCCTCTATACCATATCTGTGATGTTTTGAATGTTGGAAACGAGTTTTCAATTCAAGCACTTTTCAAGGATTTAAGGACCTGCACGGACCATGTTCATGGTAATGATTTTTGTGGGATGCACCCCCTCCTGAGAGGCCCGCACCCCTCCCTGTGGAAAATCATCCATCCGCCCCTGTAAGTAGACTGTTACGAATCAGAACGATCCTTTCCATTTGATCGTGGCATTACAAAGCTACCAGTGGAGAGCATACCTGCACGAAGTCATTATCGTCGTTGTTGTCAAGTGGTTCCCAGCAACGTTCATCGTTCAGTCTAGCAGCAAATGCYGTGTATTTGACCGGCCATTCCCTTGAAGCTGTCATACGATAATTTGGAACTTTGATGTGTGGGAGAGCGAYTCCAACGCCCGCATTGTTGCATGCTGAGATATAATAACAGATACATAAGATATATGTCACTCATTGATGAGGACAAAAGTTTCTTTCATCATTCTTTAAAGGCCCGTTGTGCATCATTATGCTTTGGGGGCCTAGAGGCGGCCATTTTCAGTTTACAGAAAGTCTATAAATTGTACTATGCGTTTCAAATCTTTGACAATCTCCACTTTTTTAAGCACTTTAAATGCTAATCTTAGAGTTTTAAACCATCTGACATTCGGTTTATGGTGATATTTGGATACTAGAAGTATTTTGGTGTAAATCATAACAATAACAGAGTCGTGCAAAGCATAATGATGCAAACCGGGGATTTAAAATTCTAATAATTGGCCTTTTGCATGAAACGGTCACATGGTACGAAATCCGCCATAAATTAAAGATAGCTAAACAATTTACATACTTACTTGTTCGCTGTACCCCATAGAACTCCACACGCATGCATGGGGCACCGATATAGTTTGTTGGCAGCACTCGAATGTAGCGACAGACAGGACTTGCTTCAAAATAATGCTTGGAAATAACACTGCTTTGATAGTTACCCTGAAAGACCTGAATTAAAGTTTTAAACACAAAATTTAATAAACTTTCAATAAAAGTGGGATGGGCAAGAGGCAAAAGTCCATTGTTATCAGCATGGTCAGGACAGTCATGCAAAGTGATAAAAATAGAAATCGCCATTTAAAAAGTAGTCACTTAACCATACTGTTAAGGCGAATCAAATGACTTCCACTGGTTACCAAGGCACGCCCTTAATAATTCCTGCAGAATAAAATCTTAAAGGCTGATTTACACGGTACGATTTGTCGCGCGCGACTTGTAGTACACGATTTTCCTACTACAAGTCGTAGGATTTTAAGCAGTGGTTCAAAAACCTACTACAAGTCGTAGGTTGCGTACGACTGTTGTAGACAAGTCGTAGGGGCATTTATACTGCGTCGTATACTACAAATCGCACGAGACAATCGTGCCGTGTAAATCAGACWTAAGACATTACCTTTTTCTGCCCTAGTTCTTTGTAATCACTCCAGGAACTCCCATCCAGTGATGTCTGCAACGTGTACGAAGTCACCATTTGGTCAGCTTTGCTATTTCCCTGTGTGGCTATTGAACACAAAATGTAAAGCGCATCCAAATCAATCTGCAGATAWGGACTGTTATCATCCATATCGGCACACCATGAGTCGTTCTTTGTAAACCCAAGTCTTGCATTGTTTGCTGCGGTTGAATTTCCCAATGTTGACGAGGCATGTATTTGTGAGTCAGAAATGCGACCATTCTCGAGGCCAACGGGCTGGTTGTCACATGTTGCTGAAGCGAATAAATGAACAAATGAATGAATGAAAAGGAAAATARAAATGAATAACGGAATCAAATGGATTCATTAAATATGAAAAAGTAAATAATACAAATGGAGAATATGAAAGAAAAGAAGATATATTGACAGGGGGTGGGGTGGGGGCGGAAGCTCCACAAATTTGTCAGAGTGCTGAACCRATTGAACCAATTTATATTATTTTTTTGCTATTAAGTTATAATATTTTCAGTACTTACGACCACAGCCATAAAGCTCAATTCTCATTGCCATCACATTGTGCCAGGTATCAGGTACAATTCTTATGTATCTCGTTTCAAGAGGACGATTAAAAATATTGGTGAAGACTTTGTCTGCCTCGTCTACATCCGCTGTGAAAGACTTATATGAAACAAATAACCAAAAACCATGAGATGAAGATCTGACAAATAACTACAACAACGACGACAATAACAACAGCTACAACAGCAGCAACATCAACAACAACAACTACAATAACAAGAACGACGACAAAAACAACAGCAGCAGCAGCAACGACAAAAACAACAGAAGCAACAACAACAACAACAACAACAACAGTAAAACGACGACAACATCGGCAACAACAGCAGCAGAAGCAACAACAAACAAACACAAGAAAATGGGAAAAGTTTCCTTTTTCTTCTGCTTCAAATTACGGGCTACTCAGCACACTGCTACTCGTAGCTGCTAATGCTGAAGTGTGAATCCCATGTTTAAAATATAAAAATTCAAGAATAATAAAATGGAGCAAAACACAATCTCTTTGCTTATACCTGAAAGTCTTCCCAAGTGTCATTATTTAAGCTGTACTTGACAGTAAACGAAGAGACCCAAGATGAACTGTCATTGTCYCCTTGTGATACAATAGCAGTGACTGTCTTGACCTCACCAAAGTCTACCTGAAGGTATTCACCTTTSGTGGCACCTGCTTGCGCTCGCCAAGCAAACTTATTATTTAGACGGGCTGATTGTGTACCGTATTTCTCTGGTTCAGACGATGTTTGAGACGAAGCTGTTATCTGTGAGTTGCCAATGCTGTATGTYTGCATTCCGAGAGGATGAGAACACAACGCTGCAAAAGATATGATGTAAGTTAAGYTAATTTGTGATACAAGACTAGAATCTTGATGGAAATAATAATGGAAGCCAAAAGGCACCAAATAAAGGAAAGATTAACCCATCAAATTTTCAAATGAAGTAGTTTTTTACCAAACATGTCTTCTAAACTACGATCTGCCATTGACAGTRAGCTTGATGYAGGCAASAAAAAAATCAAAAGCTTGAATATCTTTRCAGCCATCCTCTTTTTTCTTCTTCTTTTGGAGATAATCCAAGTTTATRTAAAGAGAAAAACTTTTAAAACGGCATTTAATCTTCAAAAACCTAATTAAATATAAGAATCTATGGGATCTTGGAGCRAAAAAGTCAAAATTCCGTCATCGCYCGCTCGCGCKCRAAGCCAGAGCGTTGAAAAGCCCTCGCTCAAGTTTGTTCTGATTCTTTTAGCTTTAATAAACTTTTTCTTTCTTTTTATTTTATACAAYGAATGTATCGTGTTATCAAAGATGAAACTAAATTTGTCAAAAGTGTATGCTTCAGGCCGTGAAAAAGAAATATCAACTCGGAGGGAAGTGTGAGCACACTTGCAAATTATCTCACAAAAACCGAATAGAGATTATTAACTTGATAGAAAAACATGTATTAAACAAACTACAACTAACTACGTACCAGAAAAACATTTTCAGTGATGTATTGAGCATCTAAAACAASTCTTTTCGGGTCGTCTGATAAAGTCCTGTAGCCGGATGGCAGCCAGTATCAGGAAACGGTAAAAGCCAATGGAAGAAGTCCAGCTCAGTTTGTTCTAAAAAAAGGAAAAAAACTCTTTATCTAAATTTTCGTCTCAATACAGAAGAACGCGGTTAAAAAATCAAATGTTTACTACTTTTAAGACTTACAGCCTCAGCAATTCTTCAATGACAAAGATTTAAGCTAAAGCTTAAAAATACATACCGCCTTTTTAATTTTCCATGTTTTTAGAAGTTCATTTTTGAAAACAAACGACGTTTTCTGTTTCTTTTCGTCTTGAGTCATCTTGCTTGAAGGTTTTTAATCTTATTTAGGTAATTAAAAGTGTTTTAAAACTACAATTTTAAACGCTGAAATTCGTCTGGTCTTCCAACTTGCAAGCTGCCTAACACTGCAATGGTTTACCTGTCAAAATCTAGCCAATTGCCGCTCAAGAAGAATCTATCAAAAAGAACCACACAGGAAACCCAAAGCGAACGTCTTTTATCAGAAAGCATAAATAAAATGAAGGAAAACCGTAAAAAAGTAACACACA